TGTTGTTGTTCTTCATTGTTACGCAATAAAAATGTTGAACTGACTCTGAATCTGTGGCTCAGAGCAATGCAGCATTATTATTATCCTTTAAATAATTCAAAGCAGCCAAACAGCAGAGAGGGAGATCCGTCAGTCAGGCTTCATCCCGAACTCCCTGACAGTTCAGCTGCTGTAGTAGCAGGAAAGATGAAGGATGAAGGAGCTCCAGCTGTTTCCAAAGACACAGAGGGACAGGAGAGAGTTCACCAACCTCTGAAAACCCCTGATGGATTATAATATTAGGATTATATTAATCACAACACTAATAGTGACAGATTATAAATCCGTTCTCATTCATGCAGCCGAGTCTGTGTGCGATTCTGTCCAAAGATAAGTGTCGTTTTAAAGATGCAGTCTTTGCAGGGCTGCTCCTCAGAGCTGGGTCGGTTGAATAATCACTTTATTTTCTTCTTCCTTCAGTCACCTGGATAACCATCACCTGTGGGACCCCAACGAGTTTGCAGTTTCCTGCTTCAGAATCATCATGTACTCCATCCAGGTACGTCGCTCTTCCTCTGACACGTAGGTCGAGATGGCAGGGGCTAAAAAATGGAGCTGATTTGATCTGGAAGCAGTGAAAACCGATCGCACCCACGACTACATGTCGCACCTGAGGAGGTGCAGCATGCAGTCGAGAGCTCCGCTGACATGCCGAGTCTTTAAAAAGGAAAAGTTCTGTCTAAAGCAGCTGCTGGAGATGTTGTAAGGTCGAGTTCACATCCAGCAGCTTCACAAAAACTTCCTCGATGTCAAAGGTCGCCTTCTGAAGTAACTTTTATAGCAGTTCAGCTGCACAGAGAGAGGAGACACAGCGAGCAGGAAATACTGCAGACTGCTACTTTTTAATAACTGAGATGCTTTAAAAGAAAAACTTTCTTCACTTTCACTTGTTTGTTTGTTCTCTATAAACTTCAGCGGATTATTGCTGCTGCAGTCTGTCCAGTTTTACAGCCACTGTAAAATGTTCGTTTCAGTGGAAATTTGCTGGTTTATGAGCAACAAATGAAAGAACACTTTGTCTAGTATCTGCATTCAGCAGCATGCTAGCACCTGCTCAGACGTTCACTAACTATAAACTTTTTCTATTTAATGTTAATAATTCTGCATGAAGAAAAGTTCATTTGATGAATGTATGATAGTAAATCACATAATATGATTTAAGGATTTAATCATAAATGATTTTTGCAAACTGAAAAATTAAACCAGTGCAGAAGTCTCACTTAGCTGCATTCTTTCTACTGGCCAGCAGGAGGCGACTCCTGGTTCAGAGAACTGTCATTGAACCAGGAGTTACAATTTGCAACTTTTATTGGAAAAAGTTGCAAATTGTAACTTTAACATATGACATAATTCAACATTTTCCGGTTAGTTCATGGTCTCGTTTCATGGTTTTATTAAATCTAGCGTGATGCTCATTTTATAAACAAAGGTCGCGTTTAGAGTAAAACGGATCAGCACACAGTTTACAGCGGACCTACCTGCTGATTGACACTTTTCACCGTGGTGCGAGAGTATCGTTTCCCGCTGCTCGTCACGACACTGAACGCTGAACGCTCAGAAGCTGCTCCATCATTTATATACAGTCTATCTGTGAAGTTCACCATGTGATTGGCAGCAAACTACATTTGTTCCAAACATCGTTTGAAATCCTCTTTGGCTTTTTCAGGCTCAGCACTCGCACCACGTGATCCAGCAGGTTCTGAACCACCTCGACACTAACAACAAGAACACGCCGCGGGTCAGAGCCGGCATCGTCCAGGTGCTCCTGGAGACGGTGGCCATCGCCGCCAAAGGATCTGTGGGTGAGTTAAAGTGACGGACTGCTTCCCTCTGCAGGACGTCATGGAGGAAGATGTCATCATCTCTCTGAGGTTTAAAAAATGGTGTCATTAGCTTTACCACTGCAAGTCTGCAGATGGTCATAGCGTGTCAAACACAACAACGCGCTGGTAGAGGCACAGACAGAGGAGGCATAAACGTAGAGAAAGAATCTGAGACAGCGTCACCCAGAATCTGGATAAATACGTGCATCAAAGCAGGATGTTGTTGGCCTTTAGCTTGCTTCTCTGCAGCCAGAAGAAAGTTATCAGCCGATGTGAGCTGGCTCAGTTTGCACACGCAGGTGTGTGATCATCTGCAGTAACAGGCTGGTAATATTTTCACATTTTAAACAGGAAGCTGATCTGCGATGTTTCGCCTGTTAGGCCATAATAATTGTCAGCAACGACAAACACAGTTAACAGATCCAGTTCAGTGACTCTAAAGAGGCCACACCCCTAAATTTAACCTTCACCAAAATCCAATAACGGGGGAGTGGCTCAGTTTTAGAGGCGCCCTCAAGTGGAGATTAGAGGAAGTACAGTTTTTGACATTTCCACGTCGATTTTAGCTTTCTAGCTCCGTATGTTTAGTTTAAATCCATAAAACCAAAGGACAATATATTATTACTATATTATTATTAATTACATTTTCCTTGGACAGGCTCGAAACAGTAACGAGTTCTGTTTCCTATGTGCGATTATTAAGCCGAGGAGAAACGTCACGGTCCAGATGAAGCGTTGACATAAACGCCTCCCACTGCAGAGGAAGCTCAAACTAAGCTGGTTAGAGATGAGTTGTTAAAAGATGATCTGCACTCTTATTAAATAAACTGTCTGAAACAATCAGTCGATTAACTGATGAAGAGAAAAACAACCTTTTTTCTGTTTGTTTTCAGCTGTTTTAAGATGTAAGCTTGGCTGCGTCTTCCTCGTCTTCTTACCTGTCGAGACCACGTCAGTGAAAATGTGTCTTTATTTCACCTGAACTTACAGTTGTGTTGTTCATTAAGTTGGACAGAGCATTAAAAGCAGGCGCTGGGTGGAGGAGGGTTGCAAAGCAGCTTGCAGATTCTCAGCAGCTGTTGACAGGTTGAACGAAGTTAACCCTTTAAAACCGGTCGGAGCGGGCACGCTCCGTTTTGCGTAACTATTTTTAAATCCCGGTAATCCCTGCAACCACGTGAGCTAGCGCAATAATTTTTTTTGCATATGAAACCGGAGGAGTTGTACTTACATCTTATGCCATCAGCTTGTCCTCGGTCACAGTTTCCTTCCACATATAGCTTTGCAAAAACTCCATAAAAGCACTTGCAGCAACAAAAACATAATATTTCAGGAACACGCTTTGCCGATGCGATCAGCTGTTTGTAACACTTCCTACGTTGGAATAGATGTCAGCGTGAACTATCGCATGTCCTCCATGACCTGCCCGAAAACGGACGTGACATCATTTTCGTGGAAATGTAGTTTTTTACCATCAAGGCCTCATGAGCCTATACTGGTGTTTTTAAAAGTTATGTTTGACTTTATGACTTTCTGTGTGGTTTCTGGGATGCTTAGGACTCATATTGCACTGCTGGAAATAGTTTATTTTGATGCATATGCTGCTTTTTTGCAAATTTGCATTATAATATTTATTTTCGTTTTTCCTGCAGTGTATAAAAATTGGTGTATTTCAAAAATAAAACTATGAAGACACTCAAAATAAATTTCCTGTGGTGGGAAACTATTTTGTGCAACTTTTTTGTATTTACAGTTTTGAGGGATAAGCCTCTTAAATTTCTCTAACTAGAAATATATGTTAAAAAAACAAAAACGATTTTCAATTTTTTTGTAGTTTATTGCACTTTTTTGCAATTTATGTAATTACTATGCACTTAATGCAGACATATTATTAAAATTTAGGCTGTAATGGTTGTATTGATGTAAAGCAACTTGAAATGCTCCCAAAAATGGCTCCACAGCATGTAAACATATAATATCAGCTCTGGCGGACTTGGTTCTATGGTAGGTCTTAAAGGGTTAAATCGTAGGCTTTATATATGAGATTTGTCATCGTGAATGCTAAACTGACACTTATGTTATTGAAGTTTTGACCTCTTTAGACTTTTGAATCTTGGAAGAAATTAAAGTTTTGCTACAAGTGTTACTTTGTTACCCAAACTCGAAGGAACAAGTTTGAATTTGAAGAAACACAAAGTAAAGACAGAACTCGGAGGTGTTTAAACAGGTGCTCGAGTGTTTTTGATGTTGTCGCGTTGTGTCTGCTGTCCCGCGGTTTCGTTCTGCTTGAACGTTTGTAGATGCTAATTGCCTGATAATTAAATCATCAGGTTTTTCACTGTTAGGAAGAAAAGAAGTCAACAGAAAACATTCAAATGACTCTGTCCCACTGAGGTGTGAAAACAAATTAAAAACTTGAGAGTATTTAATTGAAGAAAAGCTGTAAGTAGTAATTATCTTTACTGCCTCTTCCTGGAAATAAAACACAACCTTCCTCCTGGATAGGAATGATCCAAGGCTCCAAAAGAAGCGACGTGTTCACCTTTGAAAGCGAATGCACGATTCCTCCTAATCTGTGGCTCGGTACGGTATGACCCTGTGCTTGGATTTAAACTGAGTAGAGCAGCTTCTGCAGACTTCCCCCCCTCTGCACACGCCCGGCGTTAACGAGCATTCTGGGTAATCACAGCTTTCACATCTCAAGTTTTGTTCTCTTTATAAAAAAGGTTAAAAAAAATAGATTTAAGTTAACCTCTCTTCTCTTGAGTTTCTTCCTTTTATCTTTTACCAGCAGATGCTCTTAGAGCTCTTAGATGATGATGAGCAGGAATACACCACCAGATACTTTCAGTTCAACTTTAACGTACACAGACTGTCCAGAACCAGATCATGTTATAATCTGATGTAATGCAATAACACTGCAGTAACTGGAAGGGTCAGATTTATCTGTATTTGTCTCTGAGATTTAGGTGCAAGCAGCACTAAATAACAGACAGTCATACTGTCAGCCTTTACATAGGCAGCGTCTCCCAGTTAACATGGTGAGCAGCTACGTCCCAGTAATACCAGTAAGTTGATTGCCCTGATGCTGTAGAGGTTCTGCAGGGTAGGCTCGAGCAGCAATCTTTATTTAGGGTTTATTACAGGTTTCTTCACAGTGCGCCCTCTGTAACTATCTATATATTTCTTTCTGGTCACTCTGTGTCATGTGACATTTGCACAGAGAGTGTCCGAAGTGTGAGCTGAGTAAACGGGGAAGCTGCAGACGCGCAGAGATCACGCTGTGGTTGTGTAGCTGAGTGTTGGTGGTATGTAGAATAGCACCGTCAGTAGATTAGAGCCAATATTAGAGTAAGTATTACTAAAGGTGATTCAGAATGTGTTGTTGCAGATAATCGTTTGCTCCCAGACTGCTAGAGAAAGTGAAAAATAACCCTTCAAAGAATCCTGATCTGTGAGATTTACAAAGATTGATGTAGCTACTGTGATGTCACCCACTGCTTTGTGAAGTCCCATTTTAAATCAAGATGAGCGTTTCCACCGTCACCATGAAGCTGGATGTGATGACTCCTCAGATAATCCTCCTTTCTGAAACAAAGCATTGCAGCCTGACCCGTGTACTGGCAGACACATAATATCAGCCAGTGTTAGCTATTGGCTGATCTACTGTATTGGCATTTATGGCAACCAATAAGAAAAAAGTAAAGAAGACACGGAGAAACATCCTTCAACCATGTTATAAGTGCTGACATTGCATAGTAGTCCACTAGAGGGCGCTCTGCAATTTCTCTGTTTGGAACGCCACAAACAACAACGAGCTGAGCTTAATCGATTAAATAACAACCCACGACAAATATTAGGGAAATCAGTTTGCTTCATATCTGAAAGAAGAAAAAACGTCTGTTGGAATATTAGATTATTATATATCGCCAAATATATTATCTGTACTGCTACATGTTTATAGGACCGGAAGTCTTTTTGTAACCAGTTATC